CAAAAAAGGAATATAGAATTAACAGCTAAAAGTAATAACGGGAGAGATCCAGGCGTGGTGGCGAGCGTGCCTGCACACTCGTCCTCACGCCTGAGTCATGGGTCACCTTCCCATGGCGTTCACAACAGCTTCTCCAGGGTATTGCACTCTGCCAGCCCTGGTGTTGGGAGGATCTCACCGTGGTGGGCGGGAGTCATGTGGCGGTCCACCACTGAAAGCGGGGCCCACCATACCATTAGCTCCTTTTATTATTAAAAAAAAAAAAAAAAAAATTCTAAGAGTGGAAGAGAGAGCAGAGAGTTGATTACAGCCCTTATCTTATATTCTTTTTGCTGATCGTCTACGGGCGATAAGCAGCAACTCGCTTTACCCTGCGGGATTAGACACTCCCTTCGTCCTCATCCTTCTCGTCCCTGCGGGATTAGACATTCCTGCCGTCCTTATCCTTCCCGTCCCGATCCCCTGAACCTTCTTATCCCTCGGGAGTAGACGCTCCCGATTCCCTGAACCTTCTTATCCCTCGGGAGTAGGCGTCCCCGATCCATTTATCCATTTCGTAATATCTCAGGATCTCCCATTTTCCAATCTGTCATTTTCCAATAAAACCTGCCTTGTATCAGCCCTGACCTATTGTGTTGTGATTTCCACCACCGGTAGAAGAGAACGCCCGGAACCGTAACAATATGTTCTGACAAGAAGCTGCGGAAGGTTTCTATTTACGTGACTTGACAGGTGGAAGCCAATAAGTTGTCATTTTTTCAAAATGTATCAGTTACAAAAATCCATTTGACTCCTTGTCTGCCACCGCTACTGCGGAGGCTGCTGTTTCCACAGACAAAAAGCCAGAACAGGGAGCCAGTGAGACTGACGGCCGGGGATGGGGGGGGGGCAGGAGCAGGTGCGTGCATGCGACCGTAGGCCACAGCGATTGTGGGAGCAGGGCAGTGAGGAGGGAGGGAGGTCACTGAACAGTGCGCATTACGCCTTTCCCGATTCATCCGAAGCTACTGCAGTTTCACATGCGTTATCAAACATGAAGTCCAAACATCCCATGGGATCTGAGTGAACCTGATGTCATGTGATCTCTGAAACATTTCTATATGTCACATGAAATCCAGTATTTACGACCGAAGAACATAGGAAATCGACCCGGTGTGACAGATATGGCCACCATTTATAACATAAGCCACAGCAAAAGCGATGGGAGAACGAACGGATCCTTCTGAAACGAATGACGATGACGATGATTTGTGAAATAAATGTTGAATGATTAAGCACGATGGTCCACGATCACACTGATCACTATTCAGGTCTTAAACAGTTTGTTATCATATGCTAGTTCCACAAAATTTGAAAACCCTCTCTCAGTTCCTGTCACACAAATGACATGGAAAATATTCATCGCCTCTTCCTTCTCTTACTCTGGAGGATTAACCTTTTGGTCGCAATTTCAAGGGGCAGAAAGGAACGTCACAAAATAACAATTCTCCACCTCTGTAGCAGGAGGGACCCATTTTTCTCCACCTGGTAACTCGTTCCTCGGGGTTGATGTAAGTCCCTATACACTTTCCTCGACAGAAATTATGACCACTTTCAGACTCCAAGCCAATGTATTTATACTCCGGGAAGGTCTCTCCCTCCCTTCTTTTGATGTCGCCCCACCCTTCACATGCGATCCCAGATTGTGTGACGTTCATGGTTCCTGCATAGTCCGCACCGCACTCGGTGAACTTGCACTCCGCTGGAGCTGTTGAGGGAGAAAATGCAGAGTCTCACTTTATGGGCGATTGTTCTTATATTTTCAGGTGGATCAGCGAAATTCTTCCAGGAAACATAGTTGACAGGAAGACCCACCTG